ATCTTCCAGATTTCCACAAATAGCCTTGGAGCGCCCCAAAGAGTTTAACGAGATTTTCCTTTTTAAACTCCATATGGATTACAGCTGACATCAGTGGGAGGGTTTGTTGCAGAGAGAGGGGGGGGAAACCTGAATTTTAGTGAAAATCGAGCAGAAAAGACGAGACTGACAGCTCATCGAAAAGCCGCCCTTCAAGGGCAAGACAACAGCAGCGGCTCAGCTCAAAAGATGCTGTTATTTTGATCCCATTTCTCCGACTGTAATGCTGACTCGGTGCAGAGCGATACTCACCGAACGAAATGCCGGGAAAAAACAGGGACACACACACACACACACACACACACACACACACACACACGCACGCACAAACACACACGCACGCACACGAAGGATCACATAGCCTCAGTGGAGGGCCCGAAAAGACTGAAAGCCCATGAAATAATCAGCGATGCTCGATACTCCCACCGAGCCCAGGGCTTTATAATCACTGTCCCGAGCAGGGACACGCACCCCATGTGAAATTAGGAATTTAACATAGGAGGCTAGGGCCGACCAGAGGGCCAAGTGCAAGCACGTTATAAATAATTCATGGGACACCACGGATAAAATGATTTGCGGCGCTGGCCTCAGAAGGAAGCTGCAGAAAATAATCTCTGTGTAATATTCTTAGGAATTCAACAAACCGCACTAACGCTCCAAGGCCGTAAATTCTGTCAGCCAGGGCTGTTGTAACTGGCATACAGTCAAACTTGCCTGTTCTGATTCTGCTGAACTCACTAATGTCACCTCTCCGTTCACTCCTGTTATATGCAAAAAAAAAAAAAAAAAAAAAGAACAAGAGGCTAGCACTGAAACCGAACAGAGTGAACATTGCAACCCTCCTTACCACCATCCACCAAAACCCCATCATCTCCAATCCGATTTACCACCACAAGTATTTAACAAAGCAATTCCAAAACAAGCACATTCCTACGAGGTCTTAAGAACGTTTTGTTGTTGCACTTACAAGCAAATGGCAGAAGTTTCAAACAATTCGGTGAATTCTGGTGCAGGCCACAGTCGTGAAAGTCAAGAGACTCGCTCACATACACAAATGAGCTAAAATATCAAAACCACTCACAGATGAAACTAATGGTGCTGATTATCTTGTGACAATGACACGTGTCAAGGTCTGCAGAGAGACATTAGACAGTGAGCCAGTGGTCAGTCCTCATAGCTGATGTGTTGGAACTGGGAGAAATGGGACCTGAGCGACTTCTACAAGGGTCAAATCGTCATGGCCAGATGGGCGAGTCAGATCACCTCAAAGTGGCAAAGCTTCTTGGGGTGTACCCCGTCAGGAGTGGGGAGTATCGACTGTCAGTGGTCCAAGCAGGGACGAACCAAGAACCATCGACAAGGTTTTGGACGCCCAACGAAGCACAAGGGCAATGGAAGCCATTCCGTCAGGTCCAAACAGACAGAAGGGCAACTGTGGCACAAGTCGCAGAGAATTTTGATGATACTAATGACGAACTTGTAAGAACACACACTACACCCCCATCATGCCCCTAAGAAAGCTTTGTAGCTGCAGTGACATCGGACAGCCCATTCTAACCCTGATCCGCTGCCCAAAGCAACTGCAATGGTCATGTGAGCATTGGAACTGGACTCTGGAGGAATTGAAGGTCAAGTGATTCAATGAGTCCAGCAGCCTTTTACATAAAGTGCATCGGCCGGATACGTGCGCAGCAATTACCCGGAGAGAAATTGTACGGCAGATTCTGGTGGAGAAAGTGAGATGCACTGGGAAATGTTCTGCTGGGAAACCCTTGTTCCACCAACTCTAGTGGATGCCAGTGTGATGGAGCCCTTTGGACGGCGCGAGGGGAACTTGCCCAATTTTAGGCAGGTGGTTGAGAAGCTGAGGCTGATCGGTGTACATGAGAGCCTCAGGAGAGGACACAGTCGGGGAAATGACTGGCTGTCTGCCAAGAGCCGGCCAAACCATGGCTGCCTTTACAGATCTTCTGTAATGTCTCCCTTCTCTGTTCCCAAGGGAAGACACATAATGGGATTTTTCACTAGAGCGGGACTCTTGTAGGATTTTGGCTGCAGTGGAGTCGAGCCGTTGGGGCTGCACAAGCAGCGGAAGTCTTTTGTTCTCCGTCAGGGGCAAAACGCAGGCGGAAAGGACTCCGGACAGCCCGCCAGCATACCAGTGTTTACGTAAATACGAGGGCGAGCGTGTTCGGTCGCATGTCCGTCACGACTGGCGAGTAACGGTGGAAATTTTCCTCCTCTGAACTTCTGCATAGCTCACGTCAAACTACCAGCAGTGAAGGGAAGATTAGCTTAGCTATGTACAACCCCCATGCCATCCACTCACGATACATAAACAAAAAGTGAACACAATGTGTTCTTTTGAATATTTTGCTTTCCTATTCACAAATGTCAAGAATAAGTATTAAAAAATTTTAAAATAAGAATATTAACAAGACAGGCCAGGCATACAAATAGGCCACAGAGAAGAAAAAACATTGTCTGATCTTCAGCAGGGACTGGAGGGCTTTTATCAAACCTGTGGTGTTTTATTGAATGCAGATACAACAGTCAAGGTCTTTGTTAACTCACTGCACTAATTGGCTGCAAAACTGACAAGAATCCGAATGCCATTGGTCCAAATTAAACACTTCTCTAACAGTGGCACACCGTGATTGGGAGTTTTAACTCTGATGCCCATGGATGAGGCAATCTAGACTTAAACACTTCATTATTATGCCTGGTCTCATTACACACAACTCTATTCTTAGCATGTCTGCTGTCTGGTCGCCAATGTCTGCAGTTTGTGATGTATAGGGATACACAGCATTCCTGGGCATAAAATAATGAGCCAAGCCCAAAATAACAATGTATGAAGATTTTAATAGTCATATCAACAAATGAATGGTCATAAAATTAACGAGAATTAAATAAAGTCACAGCATCCGAATGCTTTTCCCTTTAATTTCTGGGTAAACTATTGAGACCTTTATACAAAAAAAAAAAAAAAAAAGACAACTTTATGCAGAGAGAAGGATTGAAAATAGCATTTTCTAAATAATTCTTCAGTGAAAAGCTTTTCATCTGTGGGAAGCAAGCCTCCCTGCAATAGTCCCCAGTACTCCATTCCCTGACTTTTCACAGTGAAGCAGTTTCCAATCCCCGCCACACACAGTTCACTGCAGGAAATGTTTCAGGTCTCAGGAGTGAATCTGTTTGATCTTTGTCAATTTTCCGACCAACGCATGTTGTTAAAACCATTAAAATATTAATAATTTGGAATTTTGGGCTTAGCCAATTTTTTTGCCCGAGAGGATACACCATTTGCTACATCTGTACATTAATGCAAATATCTAATCAACCAATCAGGTGAGTAATGCACATAACACATGGGCAAGAGGTGCAGCTGTGGATCAGACCACACATCAGACTGGGGAGGAATATGTGATCCCAGTCATTTCGACAGGGCACTCCTCAGAAACTGCAGATCTCCAGGGGTGCTTTACCCACAACAATCTCAACTGTTTACGGAAAATAAGGCTTGGGCCAGATGGCCTGAAATAATTGGCAAAGCCCATCTAGCTGCCAACGCTTGACTAATTTTTTGGGGTGCCAGAGAAACACTGCTATGAACATGCACATACATATATTAATTATTCGTCTCTCACATGGTGCGTTTGTTCTTTTTTTTTTAAATTCATTCCGTCTGCAGTCTACGAAGATTTTATAATTTGATGTGTCCTCTTCCTAACTGTGACACAGCTGCTCAGTTTTCCTGGGTCGGGCGAAACAGAACCTGTTGTTGTTACCTTCTGTTTGGACCTCAGTAGAGCAAACCATAATTCCATAAAAGCCTCAATAAACGAGCGATATTCATGATAATATTGATAACATCTTGTTAAGCACAATGGTGCCGACTGTTTACAACATCTGTGAGCCACCTTTTTATTCGGCGCTATGACTGCACAATCACAATGTTGCACAATTTTCCCGGGCCAGGAATGAAAAACGGATTGTATTGTTGTCTCCATCTGTCCCACCACAAAGCAATAAACTATAATTTCATACAGGCCTCATTGACAGGTTACACAAGATGCAAGTAGCTGCAAGATTTTGGTTCGTCATGCTTCATCAATGGTTGTCAATGCTCATAATTTAAAAACGCCTCTGTATTCAGTCCATCCAGACCACAGAGCAACCCCAAAGTTTTCAAACTAACAAGCGCTCAAATAGTGTGAAAAGGTTCCCTCTATACCTTTTTCAAAAGCCAAGACGCTCCACATTTCCTACAGCAATCACTGTCATTAGGCTCAGGGACGGCTCAGGGTGGAGCCATCAATTACTTGGTTTATTTCTAATTTAATCAGCAAGATACAAAGCAAGTTTTTTCTTATCCAGGTTCATGTGCTTGTCTGTGCAGAGTGTATTAACCCTGTTGAGCTTTTCCATGCTTTGTAATTGCAATTTTATGGGCTTTGCACCGCAAGCCAAGGCTCACCAAAACTGGACAGTAGGAAATTATAAAAACATCGCCTGGTTTGACAAAATCTCAAATTCTGTTGCAGCATGGATCAATTTTATTGTGTCACAGATACTAAACCAAAGGTACTATAGTTGTGTAGTTTGTTGTGCTGTAAACCTACAATGTTGCTTGGAGCCCTGGCTCATTTACTGTAAATTGTGCTGACCGAGGTATTATTATGTCTGCCAACACAGTTGGATGGAGGCAATGTTTAGGCCAACATTTGTTTGTCTGCCTGCCTATGGGTCTGTCCATTTGTAAGCAGGATAGTGAAAAAGTTCTGAACCAATTTTGGTTAATGGACTGCATTTATTTAGCGCTCTTCTAGTCATACGACACAAAGTGCTTTACAATTATGCCTCACATTCACCCTGGTGGCAGAGACTGCCATGCAAGACGCCAGCCGGCACATCAGGAGCAGAGCGGGGTTCAGCATCTCGCTCAAGGACATGTTCTGTGGAGAAGCCGGGGATCGAACCAGGAACCTTATGATTCCTAAACCGCCTGCTCTACCTCCTGAGCCATGCCACCCCAATTTTGACAAACCTTTGCCTGTTGTCATATACGCCCTCCTATAGAGGCAACCAGATTTTCACAGGTCAAGGTCAAAGGTCAAGTTAAATATCATAGAAAAGGTCGAAAGCGGTTGTACGCACTATAAAGCGTGCCCTTCTAGATTAGGTGCGCTGGTGCCGCTCCAGTAGTCTGTCGCTTCCCTGCCGCCCCTCATTGGGAGCGGTTTTGCAGAGAGATCGAAGATCCTTGACTCCTCCGTGCAAACCATGTGAAGAGATTCATAGGGTGTAAAGAAACTCTGCAGGTTCAGGCTCTGCTGCAGATCGGGGCCACGCTAAGCACCAAAGTCCACACCAGCGAGCGCCACTGTTTCAGACCCAGACTCTGGCCAAGTTCAAGAGCACAGGTCAGACGAAGAGGAGACAGGATGTACTGCAGTTCCAAAGTAAATATTTGACTAAAAACAGAGCGCAGCCAGGCATCTTCAGGCCCTCTGTACCCTCCGTTGATGGTTTATGCATCAGGTACAGCACCAGGTGCATGGAATTTTCCTCATTTGTCAAATAGATTTCATAAATACGGGGCCTCAGTTTTAATGTGGTCAGTTCAAACCAGCTGACAGAGTTTACCCAACAGACCTGTCAAAATGTCCACCCTTCATAGCCCTGACCTCGCAGAATCCACAGTTGAATTTAACCCTTAATTTAACCCTATTGTCGCTCAATGATGTAAAATACCAGAATCAAAGCTGTTGAAAATCTATCATGAGGCAACTTTTAAACAAGTCGCCACATGATAGGTTTTCAAAAGCAAAAGATTAAAAAAAAAATTAACAGTTTAATTATTTATTTCAGCGCTCTAAGGGCTAAGGCAAAAGAAGAATGGGAGCTAGCATCGGAAGCTGCATAGCAATGGGCCCAGATGGCATGAACCAAGAATTACAGCCGACTCCCTGTAGTTAAAATGGGAGCTTTCTCAGCAGTTAGCTACGTAATGAAGTTTAATAAAAACAAATAAATAAATAAAGACTAAGCAGGCATTCAACTAATAATATTTAAATTTAAAACCGCTCAGGTCAATCAAGTCTTTGGCTACAATTCAATCACTTATAGCCATTGTGAGTTACTAAGTTATTGCTCTTTATCAAATGAAACAATGCCTATTTTCAGCGATTCATTTGTGTTTTTCATAACATTCATGTATCCCTCCATTTCATTGCTAACATTTCCTGCATTCCCGATCAATGTCACATTCAGCGGTGATGATTTCTGCAAGAATTCAATCTGAAGGAACATAAAGTCAGACACAAGAAAAAGCGCAACCAGATTACCAAAACAATGCACAAACTCTAAAAATACACCAGTGTCGATAAAAATACAGTCCCAAGGAAAAGCGTGGGAGTTACAGACGAGAAGTCCAGCAGGAAAGTGGCCCGAGACAGAATTACAGCCCACGAGAGAAACTGCTCATTCAGCTCATCCACATTTTTAAACTGCCTTAGTTTCATGCCTACTTGAGCAGTTCTTGTTTTATGGGAGAAAGGGAGAGATGCTTCTCCACCCTGTCGAACTTTTTCGCACAGCTGCACAAGGAGGGAATTTGGCAATGTTAGTAACTCCCAAACACAGAACAGAGCGAAGATATTTCCTGAATCCAGGGAAAATTTTGCAATAGAAAAGTTAGATTCCGCAGCCAGCAGATGGATGATGAGCATAAAATAGTTCAAAGAAAAAACTTGTTCAATACTTGTGCATCAATTATTAGCCCGCTTCCTTCATGCAGGGAGCTGGCAAGATGAAGGTAAATTAAAATAAAAATCACACTAGGCAGACGCAAAGAGGCTCAGAGGTGCACTTAATATCTGAGTACAGTTAAACATCATTACATTCATACTGAAACACGCATGACCTGTGATTTCTGAGATCAATGCTCGCTATGAGTCTTTGTGAAACAATAATTTTAGTCATGCGATTCCAAAGGGAAGCACTTGACTGTCGACACCGACAGCACCCTGAAAAAGTGGTTTTAGTTTCTCGAATCCACACACAACTTCGATTAGACATCAGTGCCTTCAACTGGCTTTAGCCTATCCGGAGTGGTTAACAGGCTGGAGGAGGTCAATGCTGAGCAATGATACAGGCTTAAGGTAACACAAAACAGCAGCTCAGCTATCGTATTACGGTCCGCCACAGATAATCACGTTTGAATAGCACCAGAGAAAACCCTGCTGCACTCCCCATTCAATTAAGTGATACCATCTCCGCTCTGAGGTAACAAACCCACAGCTGCGGGGCAAGGGAGTTTACGTCCAAACAACAAGAGCGGAAACCCTGGGCCACCCAAGGACTGAAGCGAGTGCTCGAATTTACGGCCGACATCCAAGGACCCGAACACACAAATCAGCCATTACAAACTGCTTCAGAAGTACCCTTGCATGATTAACATCCCCCTTCCTGACATTTTTACAGTGGCTTGAGCAGACATGGAATTATCTAGTAATTGTACAGATAAGGGGGAAAACAAAAGTATATGCTAAACTGGAATCAATACTGAACACAAACACACTTTCCCCTTTTAGCACAGCACCACAGCCGCACATGATAAAATGATCCTTTTTAACAATGTCTTCAATACAAAATGCTAGTTTGGGGGGGGACTTATACCATTTTTAATGGGTCATAAAGCACACTAAGATGCAACAGGGCTAAATTTTCTTCACCAAAAAAAAAAAAAAAAAAAAAGGCAAAAATCACAATTTCAAGTGACCGTATGGTGACTGAATTGGGATAGAATACGATAAGAAATGCTCAGTTTTTTTACCCCAGAACAACAGAAATTGATAAACACTGAGGCCTGCAGCAATGGCTTGATAATATGAGGCAACTATCAAATTTATCACTGTTCTGAAAAAAGTAAGTCAACTTCAGATGAAAGCTGTCAGCAGCACAACTATCGTTTTCTGACTAATAAGCCAACATAGATTCTCTCTTCAAATTGTATCTTGGCAGGCAGAGGACTACTGCAATTTTCACAAACAACTAGCTACACATTAGCTGGTGCACTTCAATTCACTTTTAATAGCTACTCTGACAAATGGTTCCACATTAGTCACCAGAGTCGCATAGGCAAACCTCTCATGCCTGCCATCTGATCATAAAATAAACTTCCCATAGTAACCGTGGTCTACGGTCACCTTGTAATACCTCTGCTCAGGACAGACTTCAAAACAAGCAGCCAAATTAAAATGAAAAAAGCTAATAATGAAAACATGCCAGATACAATTTTTTCAAGGAGGCTCGTGGCTCATGCACAACGTGCGGAATTTAAGGAAAATTTAATCCCATCGTCCCAGAGAAACATTATAAACAGACCTGCTAACATCCAGAGTTGAAGACGCGCACAGACTAGACCAAGGCAACTTGTATGCATGTTTGTCCATCTCGGAAATGATCTGTACCAACACACTATCAAACTTCTTTAATTTTCAAATTGAGGAAAAGGGAGATCTAGATGTGAATCGTTTTTGTTTTTTCACCCGGCAATTTCACGGGCGAAAAAATCTACTCAAAGCAAAATCACGCTTTCTCAGAAAGTCCACAGCCTACATGTGACTCTATTTAAGCTCTGAGGCTGTGTATGGACAAGGCTGCAATGGTACATGATGCATGTGCACGCACGCGCACACACACACACACACACACACACACACACTCTAAAGGAACACATGAATTTCAGAAGTTAACAGATATTCTTGGAAGAACAAACCAACCAATCACATTTCAACACAACAGCTGTTTATAAAATCAATACTTCAACGCAAGCATACTTCGCTCATCTGAAAATCACCAAAACTGCATTTGCCACCTCATGGAAGCCATGACAGCTTAAGCCTCGCTTTGCTAAAGTGGCCGGCACTTGCTTGAGCACACCAGGGGTGTGTTTCCTGAAAGCGCGGATGCTAACTTACATAGTTGGAACCACTGACAGATGGTGAATGGACAAACAATGAAAGTTGCTAACTCAGTTAGCAACTACGCTTTTGGGAAACACACCCCAGAGTGAAGCACCGGCGCAGTGGGGATCAGTACGATCGTGTGAATACACAGCACTCGAAGGCACTTTGGATCACTCTCTCCGACTCAGAGTCTCCGTACAAACACAGACATGGGGCCTCCGCTCTAATCCTCCTCCGGAACTGAGCAGACAGGAGGGGGCGGGAGAAGTGTGTGTGGGCCAGCTGCTCGTCTGCGCAAACAACACGACCAGCGAAACGCAGCAGCTCCTTATTAAAAATCCACAAACTCCCTCAGGCTTACCATGGGAACAACTCCCTCACAAGTGCCTTACAAGGTACAAGGCTGCTTATCATCCAAGGTGCTTTCCTTAAACTTGTCCTCATGATCAGTGCCATGGACTGTCTCAACATTTTGCTTACAGAGCCAATAAAACCAGTTCTGTAACCTGGGATAAGAGATCTGAACCCTTGGTCTAGATTCTTAGAACAAAAAGTGATAATATTAAGGAAAGAAACCATACGGGCGAAGTGAGGCTCATAAGTGACCATACCAGCTCTGGCTAATCCAAAGGAGTTTGGTCACCCCAACTACAATTAAAGAAGAGTCAAAGACATGCTTTGCTTCCGCCGTACTACTGTGTTCCCAATTTCCTTACAGTGCATTGAATTTCAGGCCTTAGTTGAGGCAGGTGTGAATAATGACCAACAGTGGGCTCGCTTAGCATCTACCCAGCCTCATAGTTTGGGGGGGAATGTGTGTGAGACCAAATCAAATGGGTGTCAGGGAAAAGGGGGGGGGGGCACAAAATAGGATTCCGTTACGTGTGTCGTCTTGAGCCGATCTGTTAGACCACTGCAACTACAGCCAATCTGAGCTGTGCACACAGCCTGGTTACGATACGACGCAGGACACAAAATGCCATTACTCAACATGCCAAACATAAATCTCCCATAAATTTCTGTGACCACAGGTACATTTCCTCAATGCAACAACAGACTG